CTCTTTCTTGTTGTTCCAACCAAACAGTACATTCAAGTACCAAATCAGAATCTTGAGGAAGAGTCCATTTTCTCACAAAATCATCCTTGTTTTAAGCCCATGGTTTTGTAGCCCATTAGACACATAAAACAAGTCTATTTTTGGGATGATATAGCAGAAAGTGGAATGCATGTGAGTGGAGCCAATTGTCAAAAAAGGGAAAAGAAAATTGGGGAAATTTTTGTAGCTTTGGTACTCTACACAGCTTTCCCATTTTGTCTAATCTACAAAAGTTCACCATTGTATTGAGATAAAATTTTGTTTGAGTGTTCAAGAGACATTGACCTACATCCTAAATGGTCAATTTTTTGTTTTGAGCTTTGTAGGTTTTGATTTTGTACCTAGAACAATAGCTCGTTTTTGGTGATATGTTTTTTTGCAGTTTTGGTACTATATACAGCTTTGTCATTATGTCCAATCTGCAAAAGTTTACCATTGGATTGAGTTGAAATTTTGTGTAGGTATTTAAGAGACATTGATCTATATTCTTAATGGTTAGTTTTTTGTTTGGAGCTTTGTAGGTCTAATTTTGTTCCCAAAACAATAGCTCATTTTTGGTGAACTGTCAATGTGTAACAGATTAAATAAAGGAGACCATTACTGTGTAACATAGTGTGTAACTTTACAGGATGTATATGTCAATGTTATACCTAATCTCTACATACCAAATATATATAAGGAAAAGTGTATATGAATTTTTACTCTCAAAAAGAAAAATTAAAGTGACGCCAATTCGTTTAATTAAAATCCAATTCAAAATGTTGATACATGAATTTAGAAACAAATTATATATTCTAATATAATTAATTTCTAAATCTATATGTTAATATTTAATAAAATAGATTTCTAAATTTTGAATTGAGTTTTTAATTTTCAAATATAGGAATCAAAATTAAATAAGATAAATTTCTAAATTTTAAATTAGATTTTAATTAAATGAAATAACATTGTTTAAGGTTGGGATTCTAATTTTTTTAAGTTAAAACTGATGATATGCATTAATCTCATATATATATACATGTGGAAAAAGTATATATTAGTTTTGACTTTAAAAATTATATTCCCAACATTAAAGGACGTTATTTTATTTAACTAAAATTTAATTTAAAATTTAAAAATTTTACTTTATTAAATATCAATACTTAAATTTGAAAAGTAATTATATATTCTACTAGCAAGAATTAAATCTTTACAAAATAATGTAGTTTAAGAGTTGAAACTTCAATTTTTTTTAATTATCACAGGAGTTATTTTTTGTTGCCCCTGTTGCCGTCAAAAATAGAGAATTGATCAAGAGATGAGTGTTCGCAGAAGGGGCTGAACATTGAATGGTAGTATGGGTTGTCATTGTTGATGCTGCTGAGAATTGGTCACAGCTTTCGGTGAATAGCACAAATGATAAACTCTTATGATAAAGTTAATTAAACAAAACTATATAGTTTAAGAATTGAGACCTTAATTTAAAAAGACTAGTACTCACTATCATATATATATATATATATATATATATATATTGACACTTGCTATCCTCTATATATATATATATATATCAAACAAAACTTGCCAGCTAGCTCAAGTATTAATTCCGCGTGAACATTGTAGCCCCCATTTTTACCTTTTTAAGACAATATGTCTAAGTATAGGAGAACTCCGTCCCGAGGATCTGCCTGGACCATATCAACAATTGCAAAATCAGATTTGAACATGCTTTGATGCAATCTCCTGTTTCTCTCAAGCCAAATATGATAGAATGAAACACACCATGCCAGTTTGATTAAAGCGTTTTAGAGTGCTTTGTGCTTGGGTCAATCTACCGCAAAGCCGAGCAAGCAAAGAATAAGTAGAGGGGATCTCCAACATGGTTGAAATCCTCCCCTAGACTAGAATAAGAGCAGCTGAAAGACAAGTCATCTCTTGGATTCACATTATGGTTATGTCTATTATTAAACTTAAATTTATTAGGACATTTAAAATTATTAAATTTTAATTTTAATTTGATTATTAAAAATAATTTATAATTAATAAAAAAATTAATATTTATTATTTAATAAATTAAAATTAATTTATAAATAAATATTTTTAAATATCATAATTAATTTTTAAAAAATTATAAATTAATAAAATTCCAATTAAAATTAATTATGTTAACAAAACTTTTGGTAGCAATAAACAGAGTCCTAGATTCCCATGCTCCTCTCCTACGTAATAGACCAGTATCATTGAGGCAGGGAACCATCTGTTTAGCCTGCATTTTGTGGATAATCTGTCCACTATGGCTAACAAGGACACAAAGCTGTACTTGGGAATTAAATTGGAGAACCAAATTACCCTATACCATTGCACTGTTGGTTGCTTGCTTCTGTTTTTTGGTTTTCCGCACGATATTCGGAACTTTACCCTGATTAATCTGAATCGATTTACATCGCGCACTTAAAAATAGTGGGTGAGTCTCCCAATGAAGACCACTGTGTACACAAGATCTCGAACTTAAAATCTTATTTAAACTGAAATAAATCGCTTATCACTTAATTTAATATTTTAATGATTGCTTACTTCTAAATGGTTCAAACCATGACCTGTTTCGAAAGTACCTGAGGGGAAAAGGTAACGAAACAACAGAACCCGGCCTGAGTTGATTGATGGGGGTATAAACTATCACATGAAGTGATAGGGTTATTGCCAATGTTAAGATTATTAATTTTTTAATTTTTATCGAAAAAATTGGATAACCAAATTTCCAAATACCATTGCACTGTTTGTTGCTTGCGTTTAAACGGTTCAAACCATGACTGGTTTCGAAAGTACCTGAGGGGAAAAGGTTACCCAACAACGGCCTGAATTGATTGATGGGGTATAAAGTATCAAATAAAGGGCTAGCGTCATAGCCAGCGTATAAAATGTTTAGGTCAATAATTTTTTAATTTTTTAAAAATAATGTTTAAAAATATTAATTTAATAATTAATTTTAATTTATTAATGAATAAATATTAATTATTTTATTAATTATTAATTTATAACTATAATTATTAGTCATTTTAATAATTAAATTAAATTAATATTTTAAAAAATAATATTTTATAACTTTTAATAATCTTAATATTATAAATATCATTACCACGCAAAGGCAGCTTGGATTTTTACGTGGTTAGGAGATCTTATTCTCTTGTTAGGGGCCAATTTCATGCCAGTAATATCACAATGACCCTTGACAAAGTCGAGCTGTGCTATACTTTTTTAGTTTTTTTTTTTTTTTTTCTTACTAACAACCCTGTTTGGCCAACAATAACTTGTGTTAAGCAGCTATGGTTACCCCATGCAGTTCCCAAAAATGATATAGTTATATGGTTACATAATATTTTAAAATTTCAAACACAACTTGTCGTGATTTGAGTTTCTCTATTTATTCTGGGGCTTAAATTTTTTCTATCACATTATATAATAAATTTTTTTATATATATTTAGCTGTTCATATCATTAATTTTACACGTAATTTTATATGCTATTCTTATATAATTTGTTTAAAATTTCTTGATATGTAAAAAATTAAAAACCACAATTATTATGTGATGAAGGGATAATATCATTTTTACCTAAAAATGTAAAAAATTAAAAACCACAATTATTATGTGATGAAGGGATAATATCATTTTTACCTAAAAAACCCATTATATATAAGTTAGAAGGGTAAATAAAAACCATTAAACGTATAGTAATGTTTCTTTCTTTTTCTTTTTCTTTTTTGAATAAGTTGTCAAAAAACGAGTTTCCATGAAGAAGGAAAAATGCACCTCAAGTTGACAGTCTGTCAGTTGGCCCGAAAGACTAAGTGCGTATAGTAATATCTCTTTCTCTTTAAAAGATATAAAATTTTTAATAATTGAATTTCAAGTAAGCTTTCAGCATTCTGCACTCTCCCTATCACTGTAGAAAGTTATTAACGGTCTACTTTATATGTATACATGCATATATATATATATATATATAAGGAAAAGAAATATAAATAAGTGGGTAAAAGCGATACTCTAAGCAGGCCTGATGCATAAAAGAATTTAATACAAGACATGATGTCTACTGTACAAAAAATCCATAATATTAATAGTCTACTAATATTAACTTATAAAATAAGCATAAAAAAATTAACTCGTAAAATACTTCACAAAAAATTTATTGTTAAATAATAGTTTGTATTAAAATTCAAATTTTAAGTCTATTATAAATACTCAGATGATAAATATATGAATTTATTTGAATTTAGATTAACTGTATGTCAAATTAATCAGCAGTGAAAGAAATCTAGCTAAATGTCCTTGCTGCTATATATCAAACACTTGGTGTGTATAATGAAAAGAAATTTTACTCTTCTATAACTCATTATCACAAACCCTAAAACTCAATTTGAGCGGAGTTAAAGCCAATTTCATCCCTCTACTTTCATTTTTTGTTCATGCCCGTCCTTCTACAAACAATTTGTTCTTGATCATCCCTTTACTAGTCAGACAGTAGTGAACACCGTCCCTCTACTTCCCATTTTCTATTCGATGTCGTCCCTATTTGGATGGAAAATAATAAAATGACAATTTTTTTGTATAACCTTTATGTATTATTTCAATAATTAATTTTTTTATTTATTTAAAAAATGTAATAATAAATATATTTAGTTATTTAATAACATGTAAAAATTATATAAAAAATTTGTACTAAAATGTTATTTTTATATCACTATTCATTTGGAAAATGATTCAAAAACAAACTTTTTATATAATCTTATGTGTCAATGGGCTCTTTTTGTTCATTTGAAATTACAATATTGAATGCATTCATTCATTTAATAATATAAAAAACTTATATAAAATGATTATACAAAAAGATTCTCTACATCACTACCTTTTAAAACTCATAATATTAAGTGTATCCACTCATTTAATGACAAGTAAAAATCATATAAAAAAGTTGTCTTTTTTTTTTTTTTACAAAGAAAATTGTTAGAAGTTAAGTTAGTATCTGCTATTGACAAGGTTCGAACACTGATCAGGACTGCAACCAATAGGCCACAACAGGAGAATGCAAAAGTTGTCTCTATTTCACTACCCTTGTTATTTTCTAGCATTATTGTTTTTTATTTTTTTGGTTTTTCATAACTAGTGTGGCATAAGTTTAAAAACATAATTATTGTATTTTTTAACATTAATTAATATAAAA